GATGGGCATGGATGTTAGCCCAGGGCCAGTCTTCCTCAGAAAAAAGAGGAGGATTGGCATCAGATGTTAGCTCAGGGCTGATCTTCCTGACAAAAAAAAAAAAAAAATCAAGTAAGTCAACAAAACAACTTGATCCAAATGACAACTTGATATTCCCCAGTTGCCCTACTACATCGTGGTTTAAGAACCATTGGGCTAGGGCCGGCCCCCTGATGTAGAGGTTAAGTGCGCGCGCTCCGCTGCTGGCGGCCTGGGTTCGGATCTCCGGCGCGCACCGACGCACCACTTCTCCAGCCATGCTGAGGCTGCGTCCCACATACAGCAACTAGAAGGCTGTGTAACTATGACATACAACTATCTACTGGGACTTTGGGGGAAAAAAATAAATAAAAATTAAAAAAAAACCATTGGGCTAGAGAAATTCTTACTGTCAGTAATAATTTTCTGGTGTCCTCTATGTTGGATTTTGGGCATAGAAAAGATTCCTCAGGAACTAGATTTTTTAAAATCAGTATTTGGTTTATTAAAATGTTATACATTTTTTCTTGAGCTGCAAGTCTATTTATAAATCTAGCAAATTTTAAGGGGGCGTTTATAATGTGGTTACCTAAATTTCCTTAAACATTTTAAATTATTTATAAATTTAATATTATATTTCCTTTAAGAACTTTACTTGTCTGATTATTAAAATCTTCCCAATTACCTAAACGTCTTTTGTAAATCTAATAAATTAAACTTATAATTCAGCACTCTTAAATGTTCAAATAAATACTGTGTATAAACTTAGTTATCAACTTAGAAACTGCAGATCTATATCATTTAATTGATTGGAAGCTAATCTGCTTTATAAAAATGTCAAATTCTCTTAAACTTTAGAAGTTCTTAAATACCAAATATGCACAGGTTATTCCCTAATTTAATGTGAAAATAGTAATCTGTGGGTTTGATTTGTGTTTCTATTTTTAGATCTCCCTAGATCTAAAAACACTATTTCTATACCTAATTCTAAATTTTCCTGAGCTTCAGCAAGGGAACAATTATGTGATCCCAAATAATTTGGGGTACCCTTTCAGGTAAATTTTGGGGTTATCTTTTCAGCATATCAATCAGAAATTTTGTCTGAGATTTTCCAGAGCTATAACATTTCAGGGTAATTTTTCTCAAGATGAGGAGGGACAAGTAAAGCTCTCTTTAATAGTTGGTAGTTTATAGGATCTCCAAGTGCATGCCCTCTGAATGGGATGGTCTCTTGGCCCGTGTCCTTTAGATTCAAGTTATGCAGGTCAGTATCCAGATTTTTCTTTTCCTCATTAAAGTGCATAGTCCTCGCTAAATTTGTGGATAACTTCCAATATTGCTTGAATTTACATTTAAATTGCTCTCTTAAACTATGTAAATATAAATCTATTGGATTATCCATATCTCTTAAAGGTTTGTCTGATCTCTGATCCTGTCCCAAAAGTCATGCTAATAGAAACTACAAAGGTTTTTAAAGTGCTCCTACCAGGTCTTAGCCCAGTTAACACAATTAATATTTATTGCATTTAATGAATGAATGAGATAATGACTTTAGGTCTTTTCATATCAAGAATATTAAATGCACTAAAACACTGAATTACCAATTAAATGTATGCTGTCAAAATCTGACAGTTATTCTAACTGCTAGCATTACCTATAACATCTTTAAATATTTTCTATTCTGACATGTTCTTGGTAGAATCTGGTTTGTGAGAGATAAATCAATCATGGTGACAATCACTACATTCTCCTAATATCTATTTTTGGTATGTTTCTCAGTACATTTAAAGATTTTTATTTATTTATTTTTTCCCCCCAAAGCCCCAGTAGATAGTTGTGTGTCACAGCTGCACATCCTTCTAGTTGCTGTATGTGGGACGCGGCCCCAGCATGGCCGGAGAAGCAGCGCGTCGGTGCGAGCCCGGGATCCGAACCCGGGTCGCCAGCAGTGGAGCGCGCTCACTTAACCACCAAGCCACGGGGCCGGCCCGTCTCAGTACATTTAAAAAAATGGATATTCTGTTGACTTTTAGAAATATCGTCCCAGCATAATATCAAAAACCCAGTTAATAACTAAGTCCATTTATTCAAACTCCAATTCAATTCCAAAGACTAGTGAGACATAAGGCCTGCATAGCCCATTTCCTATTGGTACCCAGAAGTCAGAACAGCAGGGCTTATAGATTATTTTGCTGATCCACCTGTCCATACACAGTAGAACCTGTGATCTAAACAGATGGAGTGCCATTTATTCAGCAAAGAATTCCTGTTCACGTTGGGTAAATAGATATATATGTATGATAATGATATTAAGACTTTCTTCTTGCTTGGTATCTCTATTTCTGTTCCTGTTACTAATGCTTACTTTCTATTTCCAGTAAGTTGTTAGGAGGTGGAATTGAAAGCATGGCAATCACAGAAGCTTTTGGAGGTAAGTAGAACCTTAATATTTTGTTATATGAAAAAAATATATATATATGCACACACACATATATAATTAAATAAACAACCAATAGTAAATTGTATCTATTTTGGAATTTATGATGAAATCTCACTTATCATAATACATGATCATTCTGCGCTGCAATTAAAATATATTCCAACATTAACAGATGAGTCTTATTGGCATTTTTCATTTTTTATCTCTGATTTCTATAGAAGAGAGTAGAATTTTTTTCTCTCATTCCTTCAAAAGGTATTTGAATAATGAAACCAATCTTATTTCTAGGAAATGCATGTTCCATGAACACAGAGAATACATTTTCTCTTCCCTAGTTATATCTTCTATTTTTTAAAAAAATTTATGCAAAGCTATATTATATACTGTGCCTGACAATTCCAGTATGTGCAGTTCTCAGAGAACTAAATCTGTGTTTTTGTTGTTGTTGTTTCTGTTGACTTGGAGAAATGAATCTGTGTTTCATTATTTCTGTTGACTCTCAGTCTTAGTGGCTTACCTTCTTGTGTATTTATTGATATTTGTGAGCTTATTGCTTGATTTTAATCTATTGGAGTTCAATGGGTCTAAATTAGTGAGTGGGAAAGTTTTCCTCCAGAGAGAGTTTGCTTTTGTTGGTAGCTAGGGGATACCACCAATTTGAGACTACTTTAGCTGCCCTTCGAGGATCTTAGGTCAGTGGGAGAACCCCAGGCTCTCCTTCCTGTGGTGGAGTCTTAAACTTTCACTTATATGACTATTCCTAAAGAAAACTTGGTTTAAATTAATTTTTATCTAAAGGACAGTTCTGTGAAAAAATACCTTTAAAAAGTTTTTACTACTGGTATTCATATATGCAGAATCCATTTGTGACACAGAGGTACTTTATGTGTGAGATTTGACAGTTGGAAAAGAAAACCATACTCTGAGGCCATATTTATTCTTTATGAAAATATCTAAAAATTATGTGTAGTTTTTAAAATTTTTTCTATATTTTACAGAATTTCGAACTGGAAAAACCCAGCTCTCTCATACCCTCTGTGGTAAGGATACATAACAACAACAATAATAATAATAATCATAGCTGTCACTTACTAATCTACCGTGTGCCTAGTACTTTACATAATCTCATGTAATCTGAACAAACTTGCCAGGAAACTAAAACTCAGAGATGTTAAGTAAACTGCCCATGGTTACACAAATACCAGAACTGGTCTTTGAATGTGTGATGCTTGAGGTGACATTGTATGTGCTGCTCTCTGAACACCTGAATAGAAATAGGGAGCAGGTAAATAGGTATATGAATGTGTCGGTGGGGAGAGTCATCCACTGTCTCAATTTTTCCCATTCCATCTTTTCAATATTGTATCTATAGGAATGTCACAAAGCCTAGAATCTCTTACTTTCCATGGAGCAAAGTTGGCCCTAAAAAAGACTTAAAAACAAATTTTTCTAAGACAAAATAAGCAAAAGTACCTCCTTTTGCACAAAGACATTACTCTGCATTTCTTTGACCTAAGTAGAAGGAGCATGGCAAAGTGGTTAAGAAGGGAATTCTGGAATCAAAATACCTGGCTCCTGTCTCGGCTCTACCATTAATAGCTGTGAGACCTTGAGCAAGTTGCTTCACCTTTCTGTTTTTCCCCATCACTAAAATAGGAATGATGATAGTGCCAAATTTAGGGTTGTTTTGAAAAATAAATGAAATAATGCATATACCTAATGTAAAGTAATTCCTCAGTGTTAACTACTGCTACATAAAGATAAGGCATTTTAAAATTTGATATACATTAATTGAAAAGTTACTTAAATGAGTTATATAGCATTAATTATATTTGTGATTATTTATTATAAGAAGAAAGTAATATTTAAATTCTACTTCTATTCTTTAGGAGAACTAATGTTAATGAATATCTCCCATTGTGAGAGATAGTGACATTCTTGGTTGAATTACTACTATGCTGGCAGAATACTTACAATTTTACCACTGGTTAGTAATATTAAAACATAGCATGCTGTTTGTTTAGAAACTAAAGGATTATGATTCTTTGCTAGATTGACTGAAGAGTTGCAACCAGCATAAATCCCATGTTAGTTTATATATTCATTTGTACAAAGTTTATTCACTCCACTACTATTAATTAATTTTTTCATTGCTTCCTAGTGACAGCTCAACTTCCAGGAGGAGGTGGCTACTCAGGAGGGAAGATTATCTTCATTGATACAGAAAATACTTTGTACCCTTTTATTTAAACAAGTTGCTAACATAGTAGTGTGATATAGTACTGTTACTATAAAGAGAATTTGTTTGAAATATGTCATTTTTGTAATCATCCTGTAAACTAGCAATAATGAGAAAAGCCAAAGGGAAAACAATTGGTGGTCAAGTTCTCAAGTCACTTTTATTTAAAAAGGTTTCTCTTCTCCAAAAGAGTTTGGTATAAAATTGACAGAACAAATACATGGGAGGAAATTATATCTTCTTTGTTTTTAATCCTCTTACTTCTCCAAAGATTTTTCTTAACAGTTAGAAAGAAGATTATTGACTCACTCAAAGTCATGGTCCCAAATAAAGGGGAAAGTATGAAGAGAACAAAAGCACAGAAAGGAAAAGGGAAGAACCTGTTTGGGTAGCAGAAAGAATTGCAGTTTAATTAAACTGTAAGGTATTCCAGAATGCAAGGCTTGAGAGGTGATTTGGGTCTTAGACATGAAGGGCCTTGAAACCGGATGCTGAGTGTAAATGGATACTTTTGCAATATTTTAGGCAAGTAATGAGAACTTGACTTAGGTTGGAAGAAGTAGGAATAAAAAGAAAAAGACAAGAAATGTTAAGGAGGAAAATTGGTAGGACTTGATGGCTGTATTCGGTAGACGAAAGAAAGAGGTTTGAGAAACCACTCTCAGGTTTTTTTGTCTAGATACTGGGAGAATAATGACACTAATGACAGAATTGGGCAGGTCATGTTTCAGAGAAAAGATGATGTTTCATTTTAGTGTGTGACGTTTTATAATAATGTGAATATGAAGAATAAGAGGACATCCATATGGCAGTTTGAATTGTTGGACTCAGCTTGCGAAAGGAGTAGGGCCAAAGATATGGATGGAATAGCCAAGGGAGCAAGAGAACTTAGGGAGAAGAGAGGAGAACTGAGAACATAACTTCGGTGTGTGCCTATGTTTAGGAAGAGAGACTAAAAAGAGGAACCCATAGAGACAGACGAAGTAGGAGGAAATCCAGTGTGGAAGCCGAGCAAAAGGAAAGTTTCAAGAAGAAAAGGGTAGTCAGCAATGTTGCAGAGAGAGAGAAAGAGAGAGAGAGACTGAAGGTGCAAGCTGAGAAAGATCACACGGAGCTTTAAAATTAGAGTCCAAGAGAGCATTTGCAGTCAAGTGAGATGATGGGAACTTGTTACAAATAAACAGTAAAGAGTTGAGGCAATGTGTAATTAACCAATGAATAGAAGAAGAGATACAGTAGTATGAGGAGGTATCAGGTTCAGAGGAAATTCTTTTTAACAATAAGGAAGACCTGCACAAGTTTGTAAGGCGATTCACAATGAAGTCCCAGCCTGGTGCTCTAAGCTCATACTCACTATTGTCACACTATTAGAGGCAAAGAGATCAGTCTGTTCTAGTCTGATCTTGCCTCTAAAACATGCTTTGCTATTAAAATTTGAAAATGTTATGTCAGCAATTATTTAGATTTAACTATAAAGATTCTTGTTTTCTTTGTTCATTTTGGTTTCTTGCATCCCTAATCTTCTTCTTTCCTGTATTTTTGTTTTACTGGAGTATCTACTCAAGTAATTCTTTCAGGAAAGTAATCTAGGTGGTAAACTTTGAGCCCTGGCATATCTGAAAATGCCTTTATTTTGCTCTCGCTCTTGAATGTTAATTTGGCCAGTCATAGAGAAATTTGCATGGTATATTTTTATCCTATTGAATATTTGCTCCCTCCATCCCTACCTCACAGTCTTTCTGAATCACACAAATCCTTTAAGGCTCTTATTTGTAGGCCTGCCTTTTCTAATCTTCTCTAATTACCCAACTTAGAAAAACTTTGTCCTTCTTGATCTGTTATAGAATTCACCATCTAAAATACTCTAGAAGAAGGAAAACAACCAGAGAAGTGTTTGCAGAAGACTTTATTTGCAAATACCGGGCATGAGAAGACTCTGAAGAAGACTTCAAACTTGGGGAAAGAGGGTGGAATGTTGTATAGGTCTTTAGCAAGAGAGGCTCAGCTGGAGCTCAGCTAGTTTCAGATAGTTGGTTACAGACGGTTCTTGGAGAGGGAGGAATTTTTCTTGCAGAATAACAACCACCGTTTGGGCAATTTGGATTTTATCAAGAATGGTAGAGAGGAATAGTTAGGAGCCAAACCTTGTGCAGGAGGGAGTAGCGAGGAACAGCTGGGGCGACCAGGACAAGCAAGCACTACACCCGGGTGTTATTCTTTCAGGGTCTTTTACCTGTATACTGCTCTCTCGATATAATTCTTGTTGTGTGTTTATATTTTGCCTCCTTAATTATGTTTTAAACTTACCTATGGCGTGGATTGTCTTATGACTCCTTATATCTTCCATAATGCCTTGCATTGGTAATTGGTTAATATGGTAATCGATTCCATATGGTAATCAGTTAGTATTTGTAAATTGATTTGAACTTTCCTTCAGCATAAGCCCAACTTTTACACTCCTGGTCACATAGTAACAGAGTTTTGTAAAAACTGACAGGGTGAAAAACGTTCCTCTTCCAGTTCCAAAAGTCTTCTTTGACTTGTCCACCAAAAATATTTACTGGATATACCCACTAGCAATGGAAGATGTTAGTGGCTGTCACTAAAGCTCTGAAGAAAAGAGCGTATATAGCGCATTAGGATATAGATGTCTGGGAAATCCTAAACAATTCAAGTCAACATTTCTTGAACTAGTTGCAAGTGTCACAAATAAGATTATAAATGGTCCTTGAATTACAGTTACTTATGTATGATCAGTGTTATGTAAACACTGTAAACATAGTGAAATGAGACCACAGATAATGCATTTTATTTTACCTCACTTCACTTTAGAGGATACTGTAAACATATTGTCGGGATCACCAAGACCTAAAAAAAAAATGTTTATTACTTCTTTATAGTTTAGATAGATATAAGTGATTATTAGCATTTTCCAGAGTCCCTTTGCAGGTACACTGACTTTGCCTCCTTATGAATTTATTAACTTCAGAAAGCTAACACAACTCCTTTAGAAGAAAGTGGATTTTAAACCCTAAATAAACCAAAAACCCTGGGTTGAAAATTCTCTTCTGACCCTTGAAGTTACTTTTTTGACCCTTTGGTTCATGTAGTCAAATTTATCATTTTTTGGCAAGACGTGATTAACGGTATGTTAAACTATTTCATATTGAACCAGCAAGGAGTATGAAGAGAGTGAATCAATTCACTTTGAAGTGACTTGAATTATAATTCAGTGATAACATCGTCCTAGAATAGATCTGCTTTTATAGAACTGAGAACAAAGGAGATTCACGAATCTTAGTGTCTAGTTTTTCTCTTGTAACTGATTTGCTGCATAATCCTGAGTCATTTGCCTAATCTCTGTTTGTCAGTGTGCTCATTTGTAAAATGTAATCTAGGCCATAACAACCAGCTTCCAAGGTTTTTGTAAAGATTAGATAATTTAATATTTAAATTCATTACTGCCTCATGATTTCTATGACTGTTATCACTGCCTAAGGTATTCATAAATTGAGGCACTTATGAAAAATAAAATCTGGTATAGATTTTAAGTGATTATTAGCATCCTTCAAAATACCTTTGCAGGTACACTGTTTTGCTTCTCTGTTAATTTATTTATGTAAGGTATTATATTTTGTAGTTGTTTTTTAAACTTTTTTTGGAATTGATTTATTGGCTCCTTAATCTTGGCATACTCTAGCCGTCCAGATCGCCTTCGGGACATTGCCGATCGCTTCAATGTAGACCATGATGCAGTACTGGACAACGTACTTTATGCACGTGCATATACTAGTAAGAACCCCATGCAATTGGATGCTTGGGCTGTTTTAAGGTTGGCAGTGCTGATTTACTATTTGAGTGATACTTACAACATTGTGACACTGTTCTTTTCTCTTTCTATTTTACTTTTCTCCAAATCAATTTAGTCAGTCCACAAATTTTATCATCTGGTAAGTCCTTAGATTTTAGAACGCCCTCAAATTGTTTCTTATTCTTTGTTTTTGATATGGAGAGTCACGTTCTTTTTGGATAATGTAGCATTTGTTATTTATGCTAAGGCATAATATGAAATCAAATTTAATAAAGTCATAAATAATTAAGAAAATCCTTCAAGGACTCTCTTTTGCCTGACTCCCAAGGACATAAATGGTCTTAGCTTCTGCCGCTTCTAGCTTTTTGTGTGTGTGTGTGAGGAAGATTAGCCCTGAGCTAACATCCGTTACCAATCCTCTTCTTTTGTACAGAGGAAGATCAGCCCTGGGCTAACATCTGTGCCCATCTTCCTCTATTTTATATGGGACATCACCACAGCATGGCTTGACAAGCGGTGTGTCAGTGTGTGCCTGGGATCCGAAACCGCGAACCCCCGGCCGCCAAAGTGGAGCACACACGCTTAACCACTATGCCACTGGGCCAGCCCCTCTTCCAGCTTTTATAACATTTTCTCTTTGCATTTCCCACCAGGTGAACATCAGATGGAGCTACTTGATTATGTAGCAGCAAAATTCCATGAAGAAGCTGGCATCTTCAAGCTATTGGTACAAACTTTTAAATGTTGCTCGCTCACAGAGCTATTTAGCACGATATTTTTCCTCTATTGACTCTGATTCAAATTAACTTCTTCCTTCCATTTCCAAATGCATATTTATTGTTACATTAACTCTATGCAGATCATTGATTCAATAATGGCACTTTTTCGAGTGGATTTCAGTGGTCGTGGGGAGTTGGCTGAACGGCAGCAAAAATTGGCCCAGATGTTGTCACGACTCCAAAAAATCTCAGAAGGTAGATTTTTTTAAATAAAATCGCTCTTTCTGAATAGCATCTGTGACTGTTTGCTGAGTAGCCTTTTCAGAAAAGCTCAGAATAATGTCAGGAGACAATACATTTTTAAAAAATAAAATTACCTTCATGGGAATTAACCAAAAATGTTGATTCTAATACAATAAGGTACCTAAATAATAATAATGATAACATTAAATAAATTAATGTTATCAATGAAAAAATAGGAATCTAATCTTGTTTATAAAATAAATTCATGGCACAATATTCTTAAACTCTGAAATCTAAACAATGAACTTTTTATATTTATATTGCCGTTATCTTCGTTTCTTAATTTTATTTCTTGATGCAGAATATAATGTGGCTGTGTTTGTGACCAATCAGATGACTGCTGATCCAGGAGCGACTATGACGTAAGCCCCAATATTCTGCTTTTGTATTTCACAAAGGTTAATATCAAGAGAGTTAGAGTGTAGAACAGAAAATAATTCCAAAATAATCAGTCTCAATGTGGGCAAAAATATATCACAAATCACTTTATTGTACAGTGCATATTACTTCATAATTGCAAATATCACTTATTTGTTATCCAGAACCTATTTTTCTCTAGTTGTTTATAAAATAAAGCAATAGTTTAACTATTTTCAGAGATACTTTGGGCTCTTCTTTTGTCTAGGACTAAAAGGATATTGGAAAACAATAAGGAAAAGATCCTAGGGAAATAAAAACTTATATTCCAGATACGTGAATGGCTTCCATTGCACTGATAAGCTGTTAGCCTAAAAACAAAAAAGCAGGCTCTCTACAGGATATAAATGAGATATATTTATAAGAGGTCCTATGAGAGAAGTCTCCTGTTTGAAGAAACAGAATTTCACTCCACACTAGGCATATTCAGAATTTGTTGAAGTATTTGTGCACATAACACATCTGTTGATGGCTCTGCTTGAAAGATGGTGGTGAATGGAAAGGTAAGGAGAGCTAAAGTAGGATAGTGAAAACACAAAATGCAAAGAAAGGTTGGTTACCACCATCAAAAAATTTGAGCATTATGTATCTGAATAAGCAATCAAAATAACCCTGAATCCGTGATACTGCTTTTTAAAAGATCTTTTCAACAACTTTTTATTTAGAAAATTTTTTAACCAGAGAAAAGTTGCAAGATTAGTACAATGAATACACATATATCTTTCACCTAGGTTCATCAATTGTTAACATTCTGCCACATTTTTCTCTCTCTCGTGTTTTTGTGTGTGCGTGTGTATGCGTGTGTGTAAAATCTCTTTCTCCATACATACACACACATATATGTATATTTTTTGGTAACCATTTGAGAGGTTTTTTTCCCCTGAACCGTTGAGAATTATTTGCAGACATCATGACACTTCACCTCTTAATACTTCAGCATATCTCTTCTGAGAACAAGAACATTCTCCTGCATAATCACAATATAATTATCACATTCAGGAAATTTAACATTGGCATGCTAGTGCCATCTAGTATACAGTTGTATTCCAGTGTCTCCAATTGTCCCACTAATGTCCTTTGTAGCTGTTGCATTTTCGTTTTGTTTTTGATTCAGGATCAGTTTAGGATCAAGCATTCCATGTAGTTGTCATGTCTCCTTTAATCAGAACCTCAACTTCTGTTAGACTTTTATGACACTGACATTTTTGAAGAGCACAGGCCAACTGTTTTTCAGAACGTCCCTCAACTCGGAGTTGATTTTTTTTTCCAGCGTTTAAAGTGTTAAACACTTTTGGCCGAAAAATGACATAAGCGATATGATAGCCTTCTCGGGATATTATATTAGGGGACACATGATGGCAGTTTGTCCCATTATTAGTGATGTTAAATTTGATCATGTGATTAAGATGGTGTTCACAAGATTTCTCCATTGTAAAAGACCTTTTCCCCTTTTTAATTAATAAGAAATTTGTGGGTGATACTTTGAGACTTGTGTTAATATCTTGTTCTGCAATAAGCTTTCACCCATTGGTTTTAGCATCCATTGAAGATTCTTGCTTAAATCAATTATTATTCTGATGGTTGCAATATAAAGTTTTACTACTTTAAAACCAAGTCAATACGTGATATAGCAGCAGATAAATGAGTCATTGCTGTATATATTAGAAGATATTTCATATGCTAGTGTAAATTCTGTAAGTTGTACTGAAACGAATGTCTCTCTTTAAACTAACCCTAAGAGTATTGCTGCATCTTCTGCAGTTTGATATATCTCTCATTTTCAATACGCTTTTATGAGTATTTTCTACTTAATTACAGGAGATTCCAATGTAAAAAATATTAACTACACAAATAGTATTACGCAAGTTAAAAAGATTGAGGAGGGGGAAATCAATCATTTATTCTTCCAATAAATATTATTGAAAATCTACTATGTATCAAGATTCTTGGAATTTACTAGTGAACAAAAGACACCATGTGCCTTGCCTCCATAAAGAAGAAAAATAAATGATGTCCATTTAACTCAAAATTTTAAAGTCTTGGTGGGTCACACATTGTAGTCCTTGAGTGGTTAAGCAATCTTCTCTGTTTTATAGGCTATCTGTCATACACAGGGCATGAAGTACTTCACAAAGAGAATTATTTTAAACTGAAGAGAAAGGGAAGATTTTTAAGGCTCGCTTTAAAAAGATAAAATGACTCATTGGCTCAGAGGGAGGAAGTGGGTTGCATTCAAATGAAACAGTACAAGTTAAAGAGCAATGTTCTTTCTTCAGGTGTGGGGAGGGAACATTGAAGAGGCCAACTGTCGAGCTAGAGTTAGAAGGCAAAGGAAATCAGTGGAAATTAGGTCAGATGGGCGTTCTTTTTCTTATATTTCTAGAAAGTTTAAAAAAGAGTAAAACCATTTGGAATTGACTCCAATAAGACAAGGAAAGGAGAAATAGAGAGGTGACAGAAAGGAAATAATTGAAGGAATTGGGGGGGGGGCAGGTTTATAATGAAGTGAGCTAAGTAAAGAGCCAGAGAAGGTAACAAGGGCTAGTATTTTTGCTGGGTGAATCTGCTTTGAAGTATCATCTCCTCCATCTAGCCAAGTTGTAAGGAAACTAGTTTCACTATAATTAGTATATTCTAAAGTATATTAAATTATAACAATACAAATTAAATGCATGTATTCATATAAAGCACATAAATTGCCACATCTAAATGGAAAAAAACCAGGACAGTTTTAAACTAAAGGATTTCAAATGCTGTTAGAAAACCTCCCATAAAGAAAATATCTTTGCTTCTCAGTGTTGAGGAACTCCAAGCTGCAGCTCGCCTGGGGCCTGTCAGAGAAGTATCACTATAATTGGTATGAGTCCCCAAGTACACTGACAATAATTGAGGTTTATATCCCATGCATTATACTTGATGGCACATCGTATTAAAAAGGAACAAAATTATAGAGGCGAGGAGCTGCCGTATGACACAGCAGAGCAGTAGCTCCTAGATAAGGCTTACAGATACAGCTTTTAGAATTAGAGTGATCCAGTTGACGGAGGCCTGGAGATAAAAAGTCAAAGTATCAGCCTGTAAAGCTCCACACCAGGGCAAATAATAAGATGAGCAACAAATAAGACCATGATGCTGCCACCTACTTCATTTGTGTATTTGTTTTGCTAAAACAAAAAGTCATCGTAGAACATTTGCCGTCTTGTAAATGTACAGTCAGTTTATTCTCTAAGGATGTCACCTACTGATTCAACATCATTAGCATAAATTAAGAGGCAATATGGTTAGAGAAAAAACGTTAAACCAAGGTCTCTAGCATGATGACCTTGTGCAAATCATTTAAACTATTTGAACTTCATTTTCCTCCCCCTCAAAATTAAGAGAACTTATTTTTATTGATTGCTTACCATGTGCCAGGTGCTTTCATGCATCATCTTATGCAATTCTCATGTCACCCCAGCATAACTCAGCCTCCTTGGGCCTCCCTGTCCTTTCTATGAAGCCAATCTCAGTATGTTGCTACATCCCCTCCCACCAAAAAACCCCCAGAATTCCATCTTCAAATTTTTGAATAAAGTGTAGGTTTTTCTGCATATTTTGGAAGGAAACAGGAGGGAGGGATTACTAAATAAAACTTCTTAAACATACCCCTTTTTTAAGCCATCTCTTCTCTTTCTCCAACGTTCTTCTCTTTTGGCAGTACTCTTCTCTATCTTCCCCTAATCTCAAAGCATTCTCCTTATTCTTGCGCATGTTCACTCAGCCTTTCTCTCCTCAATGGACCCCTTCTCAAAAATTCCCTCTGTAAGCTTACCCCTTAGCAAGTCAAAAGTACCAAGAATGCCAGTTGTCCCACAAGGTTACACTTGCCCAGGCCCCTCAAGGTCCCCGCTCCAACCAGTATTTGAGGTAGATACTATTAATATTCCTAATTTGTAAAGGAAGAAACAGAGGCTCAGAGGACTTAGTACTTGCTCCTTCACACAATTAAAAAACAGAAGCCCAGATTTGAACCCAGGTATCTTTGACTTCAAAGTTGATGCTCTTTTAGCCTCCCTGTGCTACCCTCCCCATCCCACTCCCAGAAAAATATCACCTGCCCTCCCATCACCATAATCCTATACTTCATGACCCTAGCACCTAATTTGAAGTTTGGAGGTCAGGCTGTTCTGGGTCTTACCCTCAACAATATAATATGCTGTATCCTGTTCAACAAGACGGGGATTAAGGAAACAATCTTTCCTAGCCCCTCTTTATTCCTAATATCCACCCCCATCTCTTCCTCCTTCTCATCGTACTCCCCCATCCCGAGGAAAGGAGGAAAGAAGAGGAGAAGAAAATATAAAAGAAGGAGAAATAAGAGACTAGGCTAAAGGAAGGGTGTGGGCGGTTTTCTGAAGCTGTTTTACTTGGTCAGAAATAGAAGTAAATTAAAGCCCGCTAAAAGAATGTGGAATGCTATTACACCTTCTTGTACTTTACTCAAGACTTGGTTATAACTGCTAGAATACTCAGGAAGTTCAAAGGAAATTTAAGAAGAGTTTCTTGGTCTATATGTCACTGAAAGAGTGGTTGTTTTAACTGAATCATTTAGTTAAATAATATTAGTTACCATTTTTTGAGTATTTCTTGTGTGCCAAGATTACTCTAAGGGTAGAGCTAATGTATATAAACAACCTGGCATAGTTCCTGGCATGTAGTAGACTCCCAACAAGTTATATTAAATATATCTTGAATCCTCACAACAGCCCTAAGACGTTCGGTCTTTTTGTTCCCATTTCACAGTTAAAGAAACTGAAATTCATAAAGGTAAGTACTATCCCAAGGTGACATAGATTGTAAGTGTTTGAGTCAGAATTAGGAAAGCAGATAATAATAAAGTCACTAGGCTAATGCCTTACCTAAATTATTTCATTTTATTCTCACAACTATCCTACCAGTTAGGCAC